CCTAGTATAAGCTGCTTAATTCGACTTCGAATATAAATGAAGATTCAATTGTTTATAGTTTGTTTCGAAAATAAATGAAGCAAACTTGTACTAAAACTTCATTGCATAATAGGAATACGTGTTGGTTTACTTATATGCATTTTTTACTATACATATATTTTTTCGTTTAAGAAAAGTAGGTGTTCGGAATAGATAAGAATAGATTATTTTTTTAGTTTAACTCAATTATAATTCATCTATATAGATATAGTATATATGTATAATTATGAATAACTAAAATTATACCTTCGATTAGGATTAATTATATGATTAAATTTGTTTTTCAAACTGACATTTACATTCAAAATCGAATTAAGTAGCTATCCATTCATTGACCTATAATAAAGACTTGAGAAAATAATATTTCATCAATCAAATATATTCTTCAACATATTCTTTTTTTTACTACAGTTTTTCATTGAAAGAAAAATACTTTTTATTTTGCAACATGCTCTATATTATCAATTGTAACCATTGACAAAAAAAAAGAGCTCATTACTTCTTCAAATATATCATACAAAATTAATAAGTCCATTTATCTGTATTACAAATATTTCATTTCTCCTTTTCCATTATTAAAGATTTATTTTTAACATTATTTATTTATTGTAAGAGCTAATTCTTGTTTTCTTTTGTTTAATATAGCTGATAGTGTTCGTTCATTAAAGCATTATGTTGAATGGTACATAACAACAGAGATTTCAAATTTAATGATAAAAATGAAACTTATACCACATTCTCATATTACATTTGATATTGATTCAAATGATCCATGCCAACTTACTGTTCAAAGCTTACCACAACAAAGTGTAAGTCCACTAACAAAATCAAAAGATAACCGTATGTAAATCAACAACTAATATAAAAGTATTTTAAAAGTTTTTTTTTTTTATTCAAAGATCATTGTACTCATAAACAATCGGATGAAGAATTCATTATAGATGTAGATAATGATGACAATCAATTTAATATTAAAGATCATAATCAAGATTCATGTTTAGTTTCATCAAGTGAAGAAAAATATTTATCCGATCGTTGATGTTTAATTTTATTTTTATCAAACCACAAAATTGTCAGTCAACATTAAAAGAAACATATCATTTTATTCTCTAAAGAAGTTTTCATGATTTTGCTCTTATTTACTCTTGTTATTTCAAATAAATATATAGAAAACTTGATCGAAAATTGATTTTCTACAGATAGATTTATCGTTAGAAAGTTTTTAAAATTACAATGCATATATGAATATACTGTAATCAGAATATTGTTCAACATTTTAATTATAAAAATTAGAAGATGAATAGATCACTATGACCATATATGTTACAGTAACATACATAAGATATACATCTATTAGCAGTTTCTTTTTAAAGCTTTCAGAACATTTTAAACAATATATTGAACAATTTACTATCAATGTGAAACAAAAATGATGATTTTTTTAATAATTAAAGAAAGATAATCATTGATATTGAAAACTTGTTGAATATATTTTCAAAGATCAGAGAAGAAAATAAGTACATAGCAAAATTCTCGTAAAATTATTTGGATGGATTTGGATCTTGCTTTTTTTAAATGATGATATAAGGTATAATTGTACGATTGAGTATTTGGTTTTTCTATCCATTCACACTCAAGCTCTGATATTCACACACTGACAACATCACATAGCACATTTCTATAGTGAATGTGTAGAATGAAAAATGGAGGATAATAGAATCTAGAAAGATTCAAATGTATTCTATAAAATCTTATCAGTCTTTGATAAGCTCTGAAATGAATTAATCGAACTCTAATAAAAGCTAGCAGAATTTTTTCAAATTTAGCATGAATCAAAACTTAAAGTATTATATTGTCTGAATTATTTTGTACAAAAACATGAACAATTTGAAGATATAAAACTGAACAATTTTCAATGAAAAATACTGATATATGTGCGATAGTTCTTTACATAAATGACAAAAATTAATTTTTGAATAATCTATTGTCAATTTCGAAAATCTACTAAAATAGGCTATTCTGCAGATTTTAATACATTCCAATGGGCTTAAAAATATTGAAATTCCATTTTTGATTCAAAATGAGAAAATGTATACTTCTTCTATGTCGAATAATGTCTGAAATATAAATGATAATACACTGTTCCTCCGTTCAAATTTTGTCTATTATAAGCATTGTTTACATTATGCAGTTTGTTTTAGATCGATAAAGCTGAAAGAGATATGTTAATTTTGTTCATGGTGTTCTAACCTATTGCAGAGGCAAAATAGATTATTTCAGTTTTGAAAATCTTCATGTATTTCTAAAAGTATTTTCATACTCAAAATATTCAAATTAAATTAGAAAAGATAAGTAAATATCGTAGAAGCTTTTTCAATTTATTAATATATTTCATATTAACACAAGAAAAAAAAACAAACGATCAAAGTTTGTTTCTCACTACATATAATTATTTATATAATAACAAATATTAAATCTATATCCAAAGACGAAATCTTGATCTTTCAAGAAGAAATTGACTATTACAAAATCGTTTCTGTATCATGATGCGATAAGCTTCAGTTTTCTCATTTTCAATCGACCCATAAATATCTAGAAAGAGTAATTGTTTCAATTGATCCACTAATTGACAGAGATCTTGTTCAAAAATATTAACATGTTGAACTAAACAATTGAAAAATTAATTTTTTTTTCTCTTTTATGTCTTTTTCATTCACATACCAATCGATTCAAATGTCCGTAAAGATCTTCTCCATTGTTGAGCCAAAATACCATAGTATGCTGGTTTAAAATCTGGTCGAACTTGTAAAGAGAAAAGCATTTTTAAACTTTGCATAAATTTATTTGTTTAATTAATTATTTTAATTTTATTAAATAAGGATGAATTATCACATAAGATCTTTTCAATGCTCTACTAACTAACTACGAGAGAAATACCCAAGACGGTATATCTTGTTTGCGACGAGACGGTAGTCATTATTTTGAACCTGTTGAGAATAGAAAAAACTCAAAAAGATTCGTTTCCATAGGCTGCAATTTTCGAGTTACATTTATTACACTGAATTTTTATCTTCATCACAGTATTTATTGAAGAACAAACAATATTAAGTACTACAGTTTATGTTCTTTTATTGATATATCATAGTTTTTTGTGTATCCAATATGTCGAACATAGATGTATTACATTAAATTTACTATTAATAAGTGAACATTTTCAAAAGTACTAGAGTAATAAGTAATAATCCGTCATTCAGTAAAAAAAGGAAATCATAAAATATTTAATTACACATAGAAAATTTTGCAATACTTCTTAACGATATGCTCTCTATAAGTTTTCAAGAACTATTCAGAGATGGTTCCTATATATGTTCAATCGCTGTCTGGTAATCATCTCTATAGCTTTCTTAGATAAATTTAGGATCAGAATCCCTATATATTTTGAAAAGCTATCTCGAAACTGTCTCTATTACTTTCTAAGAATTACTTAAAGGTGGTTCAGAAGAGATTGCTCTCTTTACCTGAAATTTTAAAGAAAAATTCGAATGACTTCAAGAGTTATACATGAGCAAAATATATTTATTCAATTTTTTCATAAATATCGTGCCAATGGTAAAGACTGTAGTATAATGCTCATAACTCCGGTAGGGTAGTGTATCAGGAAGTTTCTCATTTCAATAGATTCTAAGTAATGATTGAAACATCATCACAAAACTTGAGGTATCACTTCGGATAGTTCTTTAGCTAGTCTATTCATTTTTCTCAAAGTTAGTAAATTTTATTGTCAAACACTTTTCTACGCAAATTGAATCGATATATTCAAATAAAAAAACTTGTTAGTACGCAGTCTCTATAGAGCTAATATTTCGAACTCATATTTTCTTCTTAGCCTCGTTAAACTAATACAAAGTAGGTCAAGTGAAAAATCTTTCGTACAGTACAAGAAAATTCACTACGACACTATGAATCTATCTTATTTCTGATTTTGAAATAGAAAGTTTCTTTTTTTTTCTGAGCAAATATGTATGAATTGCACAAAATTGTTTCATTTTTTTGATTATTCGTTTGCTTTCATGAGAAAGACAACTATCAGATATCGAAATTATTTGTCTTTGTTTTATTTTCAGAAGTTTCATAATTAAAATTTGAATAGTTTTTTTTTAAATTTAATATATACTTACTAGATGTCCAAGGAAAATCATCTGGTCTCCAAAGACACAATATTTCTAAATGAGGCATATAATTACTAAGAAAAGGTACAAGAGATTTGCCAAGTTGAATCGATTCATTTGAGCCAAAATGACAACTAGTAAGACAAATTCCCAAATATTTAACAGAGTTCAACGTATTTTTTCTTAGTTGATTGGATGCCTAAAAATTAAAAAAGAAAGTGAATATGTACAATGAGTATTGTATATTTTTTCTGCTTCACGTAGACTATTAAGAACCTTTCTATTTCACTTTTTTTTTTGATTGTGAATGTTGTATACATAATATAAATAAGTTTCGATTAAATAGTTAGGCAGTCCAAAAGTAGTAGCCCAGGTACCTTATTTTCTTATAATAGGCTTATTGAAATTTTCTTTCTATATGAGAAGATAGAGAAAGCGAAGCTCTATTTTTCTATGCTATTTGATCACTTTTTAACTGCTAACATAATAATAAAATTTCAATAAGAACTGTTTTGGTGTGAAACTTCACTAACGGGTGAGACAGACTAAATGTTTCAACCACTTAATGCATTGTATTAAAAAACAAAATATACCAGATGATGCAGTGCGAGAAGCTCTACAATTTACAAAAGATCGCTTATTTTATAATTGCATTTTTTGTTTTCAAAATGAAGAAAATTTTGAGGGACCAATTTTTGACCATGCGGAAACGGTATTTCTTGGTACAAGATAAATTCATTTTTTTCTTATTGCATCTTTTTGTCGTCTGATATCTATTATTTAAGAAAAACAAAATACATCACAAGATGCAGCGTGCAAAGCTCTACAATCTACAAAGTTAAGCTTACTTTAATTGTGTACTTTTTGTTTCCAAAAAAAAAAACCAAAATTCTGTGTGACCAATTTTCGTTGATTCGAAAAAGTAATATTTTTCTTATTTCATATATAAAAGAAACTGTTCTTTTGTAAATTGTAGAGCTTTTTACGCTGCATCTTCTGGTATATTTTGTTTTGTAATACAACGTATTAAGTGATTGAAAACTGAAATGCAAAGCATATTAATCTGTCTCACCCGTTAGTGAAGTTTCACACCAAAACAGTTCTTATTGAAATTTTATTATTATGATATTAGTTGAATACTGATCAAATAGCACAGAAAAATAGAGCATCATTTTCTCTATCACTACATCAAGAAAGAAAATTTCTTCAAGCTTTCTATAGAGAAATAAGATGATGGGGCCACTACTTTTGGATTGTCCTAACCGTAAGTAAGATAACTGTAATCCTGACATGAAAATTAATATAATACTATAAAATCTTGCTTACGTATTCAACAAGATGCAAAAGCCATTGAAATTGTTGTACTCGAAGATAAGTTAATTGAACTGGCATTGAAATGAGATGAGCAAGTATTATTGCACGTGTCTTATTTTCATTCATGGAATAGTCATAACATGCTATAAACATATTTTAATTAAATATCTTTTATGATGGAAATAGTTTTCGAATCGAAAGATGATTCTATTTCAGTCGATTATCCATCATGTTTCTAACATTTACATAAATAATGATTGATTTCTAAGCAATACATCAAAATAAGGCACAAGATTATCCAAATGATAATTAATGGCATGAATGCTCGAAAGTAAAAATTAACTTCTATCAAATGTGGCAATTAATTCGAAAATATTTAATATTCTCATTAAGATATGTTTCTTAGATAAGAGAATAAAATCATATTCTTGTGCATTGTTGTGTTCTGTCTTTAGTGAATTCTAAGAATTTCCTTTTCATTATATTTGTTCTTTCTTTTTTAGTAATACACAAAATTAATTATGCTGCAAATAGTTTTAAACAACTAATTAGTAGACAGTTAGTGAAACATTAGAAATCAAAACACATTCGATTGATAAGAGAACGCTTTTAATAGTTCAATCGCTTTTGAGTTTAGACTCTATGCATCAGATAGATTCGATTGAAGTATGGAAAATCTTAAAAGAATGACTGGTCTTAGATCTTCTATCCAGAATTATAGACATTTTATTGCAACTTCAACCGATGGCCAGAGAGGAACGATTGGTCTGAAAATTTGTTTAATAGAAAAGTCAATTTTACATGTTTTTATTTTGTTGATATAAATATATTAGTAGATACATTTTATTATCTTGCATGGAACTGTTCTTATTTTTCTGCGAATAAAAATTACCTACTTAAATAACCTGAGAAAAGTTGGATTAAAATCAACTAAATCGATGAAAAATCGATTAAATTTCGCACAGTTTTGATTGATTACTAGTAAAAGAATAATTGTAGCACTTAAAATTTCGATCACTATTCAGATTGTTTTTGATTTTAATCAATTAAAATCTAACGAATAACAGAGATTATCATTAATTTTTTCTATCATGATTGAAGAAACATTCTGCAGATTTCATCTGTTATTATCCATTTTTTCCATAAAATCATAATTGATATTTATCGAAATTAATTGCAAGTCTATGAAATTATGATTATTTTGTTTTAAAATTAGTTATTAATTGATGAGAAATCGATAAAAAGTGTATAGTATCAATCAACTTTGCTCTTATTTTTAATGTAATCTTTTAACAGAGACAGAAACTGGATAATTTAACATAAAAAATGTATTATTCGTATTTTTACCAAAATAAACAAAACGAAACAAATAAAAAAATAATTTGACTCGACTCGAAAAATGGCTTGAATCATCCATTCTTGGATGGTCGTGTATATAACAAAAAATCGAATGACTGTATTTCTAGCTATGATCTAGCCCTGAAACAGGTCCATTGGTGAACAAATTGTTCTGAAAATTATAGTTCAAAAACAAGTTGCTTTCGGTAAATATCAGAGTCTCAATTAGCAGTATATTTAAGTACCGTTCATAGGATATTAGTCATTTTGGAATTCTAAGATTTACCGAAGCAAACTTTTTCTTGGGTTGTAATTTTCAGAACCTTTTGCTCATCAATAGGCCTGTTTGTGAGTTCAATCTCAGCTCACACTACCATCATTCGGTTTGTTGACATATATCATGCCATAGATTGATACTACAGTGAAATCCCTATGATGCAAGGCCTAAGGGTACTAAGCCTTTCAAAGTTTCTCATACATCTCTTAGATCTACCTGACGTAGAGTCTGAACTTAACAGAGATTAGGGGATTGAAAGCATTCCCTCTTAAAAAAAAACTTTCATAACAATAATTTCGTATACAATGTGAGAACCAAAAAGGTTAGACGTTTATTTTATTGTCACAAGTGCACAAGAATATTAGATTTGAAAAAAATTCTAACGAAATATTTTTCACAATGTATCGAAATACGAATTATGTGCAGTAAATGTACATGATTGATTTCAGAATAAAACGACTGAAATATGTGAAAGTTATAGAATTTTTGTAATTAACATAAGAGAAATACTTTTTCAGTCTTATTAAATATTAAAACAAAACGAAAAAAAAGATTTACCGAAGATGCGATTAAAGCCCAATCCAAAATCAAGTCTTGTGACGTTTCGCAGGTGAATATTGTTCAATTTATGTTGTTCAGTTTCGAATAATTCTATCGGATAGCTTGATTTGTCAATTTCATTGCAATCGTCTAAAAAAAATAAATACTATATGTAATAGTACTTTTATTTTTGGTCAAATCATAGTACAAAAAAGAAATAAAATGTTTGGCAAGATTTTTCTTTCCTCTGCAAACTTTCTAGCAAGAAGTCGTTCGAGAATCAACTGATCAGTTAACGAATAGAAGATGTGGCTATAGGTTAGATTCCAGTGGTTCAGTTTGAGGTCTAAAAATTTCTTTTCTAAATTCCTGTGTGACCAGAAACTTATTACCCTAAAAATCAAAATTTTGTTAATCATACTTATACTCTTATATGATCACTGTCAGGATGATCTGAAAAATGTGTTGAATGTAAACATCACCGGAATGGATGATTTTTGGTCCTGATCAAAAAAAAAAGCTGTTCCCAGTTCAGCTAAAATAATAGAATTGACTCTGCTCTCGGTCTTGACGGAATTGGAACCATATTGTTAATATCTCGTTGAGCGTCCTGGTAACTGAATCTATATAAGTGAAAAACAGTATCTTATGTCTTCAGAGTCACTATCATGACAGATCACAAGCTTTTATTGGAGAAATTATAAACATGGATTTATTCGAGCTCAAGTTCAAAAGGTTTTGAACCTCACACGTGCCAGTATTGGTCGTATTTATACCTACACATACTCCAAGTCTTAAAATAATCTATTGAAACGCATGACAATAATGAAAATGAGCCTATTGAGAAAAGTCTTATTTGAAAGTAAAGTTAGCAGTTTAAAGTGTTAGGAGGTGGTATTCTTTCAAATTTATGTGACCGGAAGGATTCAAAAATCTTTTCTTTCATCACAACGAACAGGGCATGAAGGTTTACAATGATCGATATTATCGTAACATGATATCTCAATCATCCTTCAAACTGAACTTTTGATAAACATTGCTTCTGGTATAAAAGATCTCTGTAAATTGAATACAACAAAAGATCCTTCTACATTTTTACCATAAGTGTTTTTCTTCTAAAACCAGTTCTGTTATAGCAGTGATCTTGTACAATAGTACATATATGCGAGCTTTGACAAATATGATTGATTTTGATTTTAACAAATATTCTGATTCTTTGTTTTCAAAATACGTAAACTATATTGTAATGATAGAAGAAAAAATAAATACTCACTTATATTAAATTTAATACAAGAAACCTTAGGACATAATTTATTGAATTCTTTCAAAAATTCATAAGCATCTGGACAAAAATCTACTTGAATACATGTAATATTTGGCCATTCAAATAACTCTGGATAATCTCTAGAAACACAAAAAAAAACATTATTGTATTACAAAAACTATAGATATCTTTGGAAAAAAAAATATTTTACATCAAGTCATGGAATAATCGTGACATATTAATTATAGAAGATGATAGATGTTGATATGATTTTATTGGATCAAATAAATATTTAACATTTGTCCATTGGTGTTCAACAAAGAAAGGTTCATTTTTAAACGAATTAATTATTCTTTCAGAATTATTTGAGAATAACTCACATTCAGAAATTATGTAAAAATCGAAATGTATTAAATTAGTTAATGTATCACCCATAAAATATTTACGAATGAAATTTGCATCAACTGGAGATTCATTAGTTATTATATTTGTTTTGTAAATTTTATTAATTTTAAGATAAAGTTTTAATTGAATAAGATAATTTAAATTGCTAAAAAGCCATTTCAAATAATATAACTGACAATCGTTATCAATGACACCATATAGAATAAAATATTTTAATTTCTCTACCTATAAATTATAAATTAAACATAAAGATTTATTTTTCATGGATAATGAAAAAGAATTAAAGTTTTAGTATTTATCTTCCAAGTGAAAATAAAATTCATTGAACATACAATTTACTATTATTGTTTAGCATTTAAGAAAACACATTAAAAAAAAAAAAGAGAATATTTATTTCGACTCTTCCCCAGTTTTTCTAATTGAATGAAGCCAAGAATAAACAGTTATCAATGGTGGAAGCAAATAAATTGGATCCTACACGTTTCTTGTTATTATTGGAACAACCAACAGACGGCTACTTTTCAGCCTGTCATAATCTAACTTGAAATACAACAAAGCTATGTCAAAAAACAAAACATCTTCAATGACCGAAGCATAGCTTACAGACTTTCGTCAACATACAAAGAAAGTATTGAATTTTTTGTTTTGTTTATGTATTCTTTCTTCAACGGAAAGAATTGTGAGTGTGAGTATGTGCCATCCAAACAATACACTTAAGGGAAGATCCTCCCTTTCCGGACTCAAAATTTTCACATTTTTTGTTTTTCATTTTTTGTGATTAGTATATAGATTTAAATGCCCTCTGTCCATTGAGGACACTTTGAGAACTGAAAAGCCACATCTTTTATACAACAGCCATTTCACTTAAGCCACGATCTTTTACGATAGGAGCTGCTCAATCAATTTTTTCAGATTTCGATTTTAAATACATACTTCAAGAGTCTACCAATTAGTGAGTTTTTTGTCCCTGAGCGCACTCAGATAGCTGAAATCGTCATTGAGAAATTGAGTTTTTAATTTTAGGTCGGCCTTCTTCAGACGAAGATACTAGTCTACCCATTGTCTACTAAGAGGTCTGCCATTTTTGATTGAGGTGATGTAGAATGATAAAAATTTCAGGATAGACACAAATTGAGTAGCCCTACAAAATAAAACAATCCCGAGCTCTAGATGTTGCTTTATGGATGAGTCATAGATGTCGCTAGTAGCTGAATTTCACCAATCGATATCTACTGCGTAACCAAACCAATAAACCTGAAACTTATAAACTATACTATAGGTCGATGGAACTATATAAAGATGAAAAGAAAACTTTGGGTACTGAAACAAAGTCGGAGATATGAATTTTCGACTACTTTTTACATATTTTCACTCTATTTTTGAGGGAAAAACTAAAAATGGACGTCATATTCAGAATCAGCATCAAAAATTGAGTCTGACTATGTATATTTCATGGAAAAACTCACCTGAGGTGGACCACAGGCGAAAATTTTATAAAAAGCAGCTGAGGGGGAGTACGGATAGCTTTTTGATAAAGTTTTTTTCTATGAAATGTACATGGTATGACTCGTTTTTTCACGCTGATTCCGAATATGATGTTCATTTTTAGTTTTCTCCTCAAAAATATGTAAAAACTAGTCGAAAATTCATATCTCCGACTTTGTTTCAGTACCCAAAGTTTTCTTTTCATCTTTATATAGTTCCATCGACCTAATATATAGTTTATCAGTTTCAGATTTATTGGTTTGGTTAGGCAGTAGATATCGATTGATAAAATTCAGCTACTAGCGACATCTATGACTCATCCATAAAGCAACATCTAGAGCTCGGGGTTGTTTTATTTTGTAGGGCTACTCAATTTGTGTCTATCCTGAAATTTTTAACATTCTATATTAGCTCAATCGAAAATGCTAGACTCCTTAGTAGACAGGGGGTAGGGCAACATCGTCATTTAGTCGAATATTAAAAGGTGAATTTCTCAATGATGATTAGACCTATCTGAGTCCGCTTACTGGCATAAAACCCACTAGTTAGTAGGCTTTCAAAATATGTATTTAAAATCGAAATTTGAAAAAATTGATTGAGCAACATAGGTCGTGGCTTAAGTGAAATAGCTGATAAAAAACTCCAGAAAAACCACAAAATATGCTAAAAAAAACCAAAAACCACAAATTTCTTTGCGTTTTTCTCAAAATCAATTTTTTCAGCAAAAAAAAATGAAGTCTTCCCCCATTTTCTCCCAACGCACTCCAACGAATCGAGCTCAATTTTTTACTGTGAATACTTTGAACAAATTGGAGTATGTCTTTTTTTTTCTTTTTCAAATATTCTTCATAAGGAATTTTACTAGGTACCACAAAATTGGCACTATAAGAAAAAAACGAAAACAAATGCATTGTTTGATAGTGCTGTCAGTAATTTGGTTCTCCTGACCCTCCGGAACGGTATTTTCCAAAGAAAAACAAAGACACACCCCAATTTGTTCCTAGTTTCTGCAGAAAAAAATTTCAGCCCTAAACAATGAAGTATAAGAGTTTGAGATGGGAGGGGAAGGAGAAAATTTCACGTCATTTTTCGCCCTTGGGTCGCAAATATCTCTGGGAAGGAAGCATTTTCAAATTCTGAGTCTATGACAACTTTTGCTCTACTCATCGAGATCTATCTAGTCTGAAAGTTTCAAAAAATTTCACCGAACCGTTCTCGAGAAACCTCGAAAAGGGGGGTCCCTTAAGTCTGACACGCCTCTTTAAACCATTGAACAATACTGACAGCTTTAACTGATATCATTCAAAACTTATTCTCTCATGGTCATCTACGTTATATGGTGCCAAAAAGTAGTACAGTTCAATGTTTTACAGTTCCATCAAAAAAAAAAACAATAAACAATTACTAAAATAATCACAGGATTTATAACAAAAAGCTGGAATTAAAAGTAAGTTCTCATTCTAAAAAAACCCTAATACAAAAAAAAGAAATAGTATTCAGTGATTATTTTACTTTATTAGACCAATTTTCATTGAATATTCCAAATGTATTAGTTGCCAATTCATTTAATCGATTTCTAACCCAAAAAGGTCGAAGGTTAATTGATAATTGTTCGAGATTGGGTAAAAGTTCAACAAAATGTTCAAGAATACATGTGTAACGAAGTTGAACGTTTAGATAACGAAGAGACATGCACTGATACAGAGTCTTATTGGACATTGAAATTGAACAATAATGAGAAGATAATAATAGACTTTCTTGAATATTAAGACATGAATCAATGTTGTAAATATCAAGTCGAAGAGAAGTTAATTGACATTTATCAGAGAAAAGTTGACATAGAAACTCTTTAAACATCAGTAAGCGCTTTTTGACTGGATCATATAAAAAGAAAGAAATAAAATTATGTGATTAGAATACAAATATCAGAAATTAAATATATTATTCTTAATATTCAGTTCAATAACAAACTAAAATTCAAGTCAAATTATTTTTCAATACCACTTCACATAAATCAGTTAAAGAAATAGAAACAAATTATCAGAAATAGTCAAAATGAAACATTTTCATTCGAGAGTAAAATAAACGATCAAATTAAAGAGGTAAAGATTTGTACGAAATCTTTTAAACACTATCTTCAAAAACATCCCTAATTCATTCTTCATACAAGGAAACTAATAGTCAAATTGTTCAACTTTTGATATTACTCGTCAACATTCTATTACTACTAATATCCATTCAGATATATCATGGACTCGCTTCGATATTGAGTAACATTCAGAAGAAATCAGCTAGAGAGCTACATTTATTACCATTCGAAACAGAAAAAGATAAATGAATCAAAATATGAAAACTAAACAATCCATCGAAAATCAATATCGCTCAATTAAGTGTAACCATTCTGAAAATGCCTTTGTTACATATTTTCCAATCACTTATTACCTTTTAAACTAATCATTGGATAGGTAAAATTAAAGCTTTTTGATTTCTCCAAGAGTAATAAGCATTTTTCTGAGATCTTCGAAATCAACAGATTGTTCACTAAAGAGTTTTGGCCATCCTAAACCTAGTAGTGCTAGTCCTTTTCTAATTCGATGCTAGATGAAAAAAAACAGAGAAAGAGTTCAACGTTGTCAATTTTAATTACGCGTTGCGTGCACGGTGAATTCTCATAATGTCAATTTGAGTAATTCGCGATAATTTTAAATCGAGAACAAAACATAACCACTTTTTTCAGCATAGTCAATTTGTTTATTTCGTTAGTCTCAAGTAAATGCGTATATCTTGCCAACAAAAATATCTGTAGAGATCGAAAAGTCTTGATTTTCTCTATGAAATGACTATCTTAAATATCAAAATGCGATAAAATTACATTTAAGAATAGTTTTTATAATAGTCGCTGAAAACTCTTCATTGTTCGATTTTTACTGAATACCGCCGACCGGTGACATATTGCATAGGTGTGTTATTCCTTATACATGAAAATTTATTATTTTTTTTTATACATAACAGTTCTTATTTTATAGATCAACATGTCAGGACGAAATNAAAATAATAAATTTTCATGTATAAGGAATAACACACCTATGCAATATGTCAGGACGAAATTTCTTCCTTATTTTTCGCAAAATAATCTCAATCACTTGTGTCACTTGTTTCTGTACACTAATAATTTTAACTGATTTTTTTTTTGTTTTCTGATTTTTATACTTGCAGTATTTCAATAATTTATTTCTACTGTATCTCTCAATATTAAACAAGAGGGAGACCAATGATTTCTAGTACCGATTCCGGTCAAAGAAAAAGTTGTCCTTGCTTCCAACTGAGAAAGTAAGTTTTTCGTAGTACCAATCCCAA